GTTCTTCTCCATTGTGATTCTACCATTTTTAGGCACAATGTGTACTAGACTCACCCATGAACTATAGATATGGGATAAATTATTCTTGCATCCAACAATTTCAGCACTTCTTTTTGCACTACTTTTTTCAAGGTTGGATTTAATTTACGTTGTCCTTCCACTGATGGCTTTGACCCATCCTCGATTAAAATTTTGTGCATGCAAAAAGTTGGACTGATTCCTCTTATGTCAGTTATTGTCCATCCAATTGTTGTTTTATGCTACCTGAGTACCTCCAACAATTTATCCTCCTCTTCTCTTGTTATATCATTCGCGATGATTATTGGAAGTGTTGTAGAGTCTCCAAATATACATAACGGAGATGTGAAAGCAAGGTCTTTAGTTCAAGAGTGGGTGCCTTTTTCCGTTGAGGGTACCGGGGTGAATAGTTGTCACCAAGAGATTCATATTGCCAATGTCTCCTTCCTATTGGTTGTTCGGCCAAGTTGACAACAAATTCAATTTTTTCTGCCCTTGTTGCTTCCGATTGTACAATTTATACTTCACAAATAATTGTTAGATGCTTTGTCTCAAATGCATCTGCCACCAACTCTTCAAGAACATCTACTTGGCAATAAGTTTCTGGAGTCTGAATGTTTCATCGCCTTGAACATGTTGAAAATGACTTACTCATTGTCCACCTGAAGAATCATCTTTTCATCGTAAACATCAATCAGCACTCTTTCGGTAGCAAAGAAGGGTCTTTCCAAGATTATTGGAATGTTTGAACCCTCCTCCATATCCAAAATGATCAAGTCAGCCAAAAAAATGAATTTATCAACTTTGATTAGCACATCTTGAATAATCCCATTCGTTCGTTTGATCGATCTGTCAGCCAGTTGCAAAGAGATAATTGTAGGTTTTGCTTCTTCTAATCCAAGAGACATGTAAACAGAGCAAGGCATCAAATTAACACTGGCGCCTAAATCGCATAAAGAATGTTCAAAATAATTACAACCAATTGTGCCAGGTATCGTAAAACTCTCTAGATCTTTTAGTTTGGGGTGTAACTTTTTAATAGAATTGCACTGTACTCCTCGTTCGGGCAGACAGTCTCATGTTCTTCTAGCTTTCTTTTGTTGGACAAGATCTCCTTAAAGAATTTTGCATAGCTTGGCATTTAGGTTATTACATCTGCAAATGAAATATTTATGTACAGTTTCTTGAAAATCTCCAAAAACTTGGCCAACTGCTTGTCAAGCTTCTTTCTCTATAACCTTTGAGGAAAGGGAATTGGTGGCACATAAGTTTTCATGAGGCTAGTGCTCTCAATGCGTATGTTTCTTTCCTTTCGTCTCCCTTGTGAGTTAGTGATTCAGACTCTTCTTCTTGCCAAGCCTCTTCAACCATTCTTCTTTATATTTTATTTTATCTCTAGTCTCTTCACATAGTCCCGACCCCGATAAGGAAATAGATAATTTCTAACAAAGTTTTCGTGTTGTTGATTCCTAGGTGTAGTGCTTCTTCCCCTAGAACATCATGAGCTGTCCCATAATAAAACCAGTTGTTGTTGATACCTTTTTCTCAGTTCCTTCATTTGCGGTGGTGGAGAAACTGGATCAAAAAAAGAGGGATTCTAATTGTAAGATATCTAATGAAACCGTCGCTGAAATTGAGATCTTATTCAAAGAGAAAAATATCAAATATCTGGAATAACTAGCTTATTCAAAAAAGCCCTTGCTCTTTGGAAGATCTATCTTGTATCTGGTACTGCGGACAGTGTGATGGAGAATGGATGCGGGCAAGAGACTTCCATTTTTTTTAAGGAAAAATCAACCATTTCATTTTACCAAGTTCAATGTTAGCCAGATGTATAAACTAATGCTTCCATAGATTCGATTCTACTCTAGGAGGAATGTTTTTATGCAGTGCTAACGTCTCTGAAAGTTGTACCCCACTTCTAGTTGTAATAGCTTGCGCTTGCTCTTTTGGATTGATCATTGTGTTGCCTAGCAATGTCCATTATAGTTTTGCAAGTTGTTGAGCTATCTGATCAATTTGAGTTTCCAGTTTCTTGATGGATGCTTGTTGATTTTGAAAGTTACTATCAATCTATTGGAAAACATTGCATGTATTGGTTGAACATCTTTCCCAAACTTGGTCTTTTCTCCTATTGGGTATTGTTTGAATTGTTCTCTTGTTGATTATTCGACTGTCTAAAGTTTGGGTGTTATCTCCATCTTGGGTTGTATGTTTAAGCAAATGGATTAAAATTTCAAGAACCATTATGAATGAAGTTAACTTGTTCCTTTGGAAAGCTCATAGATGTGCAGTTTTCTATTAGATGATTAACCCACAGTTCTTGCAGGATGGACCAGCTATCCTGCATGTGTTTCCTTTGTTTGTGACTTCACTAATAACTCTACTTGTTTTGTTAATGCTGCTATTTGGGCGTTGGTAGATGTTGTGCTGTCTAATTCATATATTCCCACTGCTTTTGGAGGCACCACTATTTCTGACGAAAACATGGAGTGAGTAGTAGCAATCAACTCAAATAGATTCATACATTGTTACACTAATTTCCCTATGATCGATCTGCCTGCAAAGGAATCCACTTGAGATTTGGATAGTGGTGAAAGTCCCGTGTAGAAATACTGCATTTGATTTTCGATAGTTATCCCATGATTTGGACACTTCCTAATCAACTACTTAAATGTGTTCTATGCATAATGATAGCTCTCCCTATCTTTCTATTGAAAGGTTTGAATCTCTGATCTGGTTTTTGCTACTTTAGTTGGTGGGAAGAACTTGTTGCAAAATTTCCTTGTCAATTCCTCCCATGTGATAATACTTCCATCAGGTTCGGCATCCAACCATTCCAATGCTGCATCTCTCAGAGTATAAGGGAATAATCGCAGCTTGATTGCATCCTTATTAACCTCGGAAGCATGACAATTCTAACAATTCCTAAGAAACCTAGAGATATGTGTGTTTGGATTCTCATGAAGTAGCCCATAGAATTGCAGAGTGTTGCTTATCAAATTAATCCATTTAGCCCTTATCAAGAAGTTGTTTACCCCAAAATCTGGATACATAATACTGGATCGTGCAGGTACTGCTATAAGCATTAAGAACATAGACACTGGCAAGTCCACTTCGTTTACTTCCATTTGCTCTTGCCGTTGATCTCTCACAGCCATTTGCCTAATTGGTTGTATAGGAATAGGGTTGAATAGATTGCCAACCACTTGATGTTGCTATTTTTGTTTGTGTTCTTTGTGTCTTCGTTTGAAAGTACATTCTATCTCATAATCAAACGATTCTCAATCGTCGCCTAGCGCACGGAGCATACAACGAATACCCTTTTTTTCTAAAAATAAAGAAAATGACGAATCAAATAACATTTAAAAATAAAAATAAATTACGGCTAAAAGTAATAGTCCCCAGCAACAGCATCAAAAACTTGTTGTCAATTTTATTTCTGCAAGTGTATGGACCGTAATAAGTAATAGTAACTCTAAGAGTCCAGGTTGTCAATCTCACAAGGACTATATTCTAGCACTTAATTCAATTTTTATTTAACCACTATTTGATGAAAACAAATAAAAAAAAGTTGTAGGATTTGAGTTTTAATCTAAATGCTAAAAAATAAATGGATGCACACACGATTGGTTGGAAAATCAAATAATGAATGGACGTTAAAGCAGAATAATTTCACCTAATGATCACCTTTACATTTCAAATTTAGATTCACATCTAATGTAGTGTTCATTCGAATTCTCCTATTGTATTCAATTTACCCCTCTCAAGTTCTCATAGAGCCTATTTAACTAATTAAATTTCATATCTATACGAAAATTCAACTGAGTTAAACGAGTTCTTTATCCTATGAATTTAATTGTGACCGCAGCAATTAGTATAGGCATCTCTACTCGTTACGCCAATTTACCGGATTTTACTACATGATCTAAATTCTAAACTCATATCTCTATTTGTAAAGAATTCACAAAATCATCAAATTATTGATAAGATAATTTAATGTATTCAATTCATAGCAAAATCAACACTTAAAAAAATTAAAAACTAAGAATTTTAATAAGAGAATATAAAGGATCTCAATTGGTTACATTATTCTCCCTAATAATAAATTTAACTATTCATAATAAACAGGAAAAAATCATTAATCATCATAGAATACATCACCGGATTTTGTGTTAAAGATGTGGAAGGAAAAGTAAATCTTGCACCAAAAATCTATTCATCTTCCAATTGATGCTCCACGCAATGAATTTCTGGATTTTTTCTCCCTTGAAATCTCCTTTTGATTCTCCAATGATGTTCTTCTCCTCTCAATGTGTCCAACCCCCTTAAAAAGTGTGAGAAAATTGTATTTATAAGTGCCTTGCTGTGTGTAGAAATTAGGGTTTTCGAATAGACTCAAAAAGGGGCCGAAATTGCGCCCTAGTGGATCTGTTCGCGACGCCGTTCATGTCTGCATCACCTTGAACCTGGCACCGCAGCGCCTAATATCAATCTCACAGCAACCCTTTTGCTATGGAAAGAAAAAAAAAAAAAAAAGGGGGGCCCCCGGGGCCCCCCCCCTTTTTTTTTTTTTTTTTTTTTTTTTTTTTTTTTTTTTTTGCCTCCTTGCTGCCACTATCCAACAATTGTGCTTTTTCTAATTTGCCCTTATATCCATAATTTCTTTTCAATCCATACCATTACTTCAATTGATGATCTTTTTCGTATCTTTCACCATCTCAATAAACTTATAAAACAACATTAACAAACACATTAAAAACATTCAATACTTGTAAAATCTAGTTTACAATAAAGTTAAACTTGGCTTAAACTCGTGAGTAAAATGCCCTCGTCAATTGGCCACGATTTTCATGGCAGAAGTTTCCTCCAATGACAAGAGTTTGCTTCGTTGAAACGCATTATTTTTGTCCAAGTCTATAACTATTGACTTACAAGTTAATCAAACTCTATTGGTTGTCTGCGACCCATAACTTTATCCTAGTTTATAACCATACAATAATAGATTTCTAAGGACCCATTGTTTAAAAACTTTGAAGAAGATGCCTGATTCTAGATTCCAGCATCTCTTTAGTTGCATGTTCCCAGAAATTTTGAAAAAAATCTTTGGTCTAAGATTCCACATAATCAACTAAAATACAGCAATCTTAATCTGTGTATCTATAAAAACCCAATGCCCTTTTGTTTGATGCAAAAGAACAAGTTTTCTTAAGATCAGAAATAGTAACTATGTCAGTCACCATCCAGTGCTTCCGTTTGTTGCCTTTTCATATTATTATTCTGTTCCTTTTGTTCAAACTTGATTATTCTTTTGCTACAACAAACCACAAAAATGATGAAACCTCTTCAGGACAAAATAAATATTTCTTAGTTCACATTGGAGTGATTGTTGAGCTGAATTCTCCCATTGGAACCATGATGGATTTATGCATAAAAAGGGCCCTCTCGGATTTTTATTCGGAGCATCCAAATTATAGAACGAGATTGCACTTACACACCGAGGATGCTGAGAGTCTGCTGGATACTAATTTTGCAGGTATTTATTAATCCAGCTTAAAACTCAAATTATATACATGCTAAATTTTCCGTTGCTTAATTTCATTAGTTGCATGCCATCTTCATATCTTAAACAAAGTTTATTGAAAAAAATAATAATAATAATAAAATAAAAATGAAAAACAACTCTTTCATTGCTTCAGAAGAATTGCGTTAACTTCCATTTGAATGATATGTCATTAACTTTGAAAAGTCCCGTGAAGGATAATAAGAGCTTTTTAATTTCATCCATATAATAGTTGATTTCTTTTTCATTTTTTTGTTGTTTCTATCAATTGTCAGCTCATGAATAGGACATTGACTAAGACTTCGATGACAACAATTGATGGTTCACAACATTAGAAATTGATGGGAACAAACCTCCTAAATGTGAAAGGGAAGCAGTAGAAATGGAAAAATGAGTTTGAAAAAAAAAAAAAGCTTATTAAACCTTCGCCGAGGCAATCAAGGAAGAAAAAGACTTTAAGCTAGAACGTTTAAACAATAATATGCACGCGAGCAAACCATTTTCTTTCTCTCTCTCTCTAGCTTTTCTCTCTTAGACACACAATGGCTGCATGAAGCTCTCTCTGCATCATGAATCTGTTCTTCTCTGTCGTGTGCCCTATGACACATTTATCAATGAGAAAATGTCATATCCATAAGACCACAACCTATGCCCTCTAACTTATCCATTACATGTGGCTGACACAACCCTTTACTAAAAACTTAAATGCCTTTTTGCAATGCAAGTCTTCTTCTTTGTTATGATTATTATGAGGCCCTTCAACTATTTATGTTTATATGAGCCAATCCCAACTGAAATTAGTAAGTTCTAGTTGCATTAAATAATAGTCTAGTTTTGGCTAGCGGTAATATAGTTAGTGACAGAGAATGCCATGAAACACTTATAGGAGAAGGTGAAAGGGGAGAGAAAAAATAAATAAATAAAGGAGGGAGGGAGGGAGGGAGGGAGATAAAAACAGTTAAATTGGAAAGGAAGGTAAACTAGACGGATAAAAAGAGGGAAATAGAAAAGGAAGGACAATTAGACGGATTGAAGAGAGAGAAGAAGAAAAAGAAAGAATTCAGGAGGAATTAAAATTTAAATAATATCTTTTAAAATATTACATCCATCGGTCTGGTGGTTGCATGTGTATAGATGTGCTATAACGTTTGACTTAATTTGAAAAAGTTAACTTTGTAGATTTTTAGTTAGAATATGCATGTTTGGATAAAATTAAGCATATTTATTGCTCATGTTACGAGAGATCTAGAGTTGTACTTGAGATTTATGGAGCTTGAGGTGAATTTTAGAAATTAGACCCCCATATTGTAGTAAGTATTCAGTTTTTTCCATTCATAAGAGTCTTGCGGAACTAATGTTTAATTTAAATCTCTACAATGAAATGATAAATTCGGTATAATATTCTAGATATTTGTACTCCAATCGAACAACAATGCCAAAATGTTCCAAATGATCATGTAAATGTTACCTGCCTTGCAATTTTAAAGGTAAAAATATTAATCAAATTTGGATAATCTAGTTGTTCATCTATTTATTTCTAAATTGATAACATATGCAATTCGTTCAATCTTTCATGGTACATAGTTGATTGAATATAAGTTCTAATCAGCTTCAACCTCAAAAAAACTTCTTTCTGCATCTGCAATTGTAATCGATATGATTAACAAATTTTGTAAGCAATATGTATTTCGAAAACAACCATCCATTTTCTTCCAGTATTGAAGTACATCAATTGTTCTTTCTATTTCACTTGGTAAATAGCACCTCAAGATTGTCAAATTCAAACATAAATCATTTCCAATAATGTCCAAACATCCATTATGTTTCGGATACTACTTAAGACTCACAAGACTTTTTCAAAAAAAAATTAAACAAAAACCCAAAGATCTCTTCATATTGTTTAAATTCTTAAAACTGAGTTTCAAATGTAGATCGAGCTTGATCAATTATAAAGCTGAAGTAATCAACACTAAATTCTTCTTTAGATAATTGCTTTACCTCATCACTTTCCTCATTTTCACCAAACTGCTTTCTTCAAATAATGTATTTTTCTGAAATATGGCCTCAATTCTCATTTTACTTGTCATTTGTTTAGCTTCATCAATGATAATAGCAAACCTAGTTTATCTAAAATCTTCGAGAAAAGAAATAATTCATTCTAAAAGGTATCAACAACCTCAATATCCATGTTTTTCACTTAAAGACTCGTAGTGTTGATTGAATGCAACAACTTGTACTAAATTACCATGTCAAGCAAATTAAAACTCACAATTCTCAAAATTATATATTGCTTGTACTAAATTACCATGTCAAGCAAAAACTCAAAAACTCACAAATTTATATGTTGCCAAGGACTCATCATTAGTTTGTTTTTTGATCTTCACTAAAATTTGCCAAGTCCAACAAAATGTTTCTTATATGTGTAGATTGCTCTTTTATAAGTTTGACATTTTATACATGACTTTTATAGTGTAATTGAAACAATGGCTAAAGTTTCGAACGTTCCATTTTATCTTTGAAAGTTTTTTATCACTCAAGCGAAAAAGAGAATAATGTATAAATGCATTGTATCATTGCAAGATATAACTTTAGGAAAATATATCACATGCCGATTAAGACTAACATGCCGATTAAGACTAACAGCCTTATGGTGTATAGACAACTCTATGATTCATTTCATGAGATCTTTATACACTTTTTTGCCTCACGCTAATGTTAGATCATTGTCATACCCTTACCTTCTCATTTCATCGACATCAAGTTGAACATTGGTTGAAACATTTTCAGTTCGGTTGCAAGTACAATCACTTCCTCATCATCGTTCGATTCATTCACATTGTCATTCTCATTCTCATTATCGTGTTCCACAATTACCAAATTTTTCATTACTTCTTCCCTCTCTTAATTTGTTGCTATTGAAGTATAATCAATATCACCATCTTGAATTTGAATTAATGTTACTTTCCTTTGTTTCCTTTCTCTGTTTTGAGCTCCAAAGCATGCATGGTATATGACTATTATTCATTGATTAGCCAAACTAAATAATGATAATAATGATAAAACATTTCAACAATATGACAATTAAAGTTTTCAATTTAAGTATAACCGTACAAAAAACATCAACAACGATACCAAATTATGTGCGTCTAATGCAATTGGTCTAGCACACTTTACTAAATAGGAGGAATGAGTGGCTTAATTTGTTTATATTACAGAAGAACACCACCAATATCATGCTATTTATTCTTTTAAATGAATGAAAAAGTCATGGATGCATATGATGACCACAGTTAACTATAGAGCAAAAATTTTCAAGCAAGCTTAGGCACCACCTCACTTACATTTAAATAGCCAAGAATATTTTAGTATCCGTTTGGCCCCCATTTTTGGTAATGAAAATGGGGGGAATAATGTTTTGTTGAAAAAATGAGCGGTTGAAAAAGAAGGAAAAATTTTCAATTTACGTATAATATTATTTTATGGAAGATTGAGTGGTTGAAATTAGGAGAGAGAAAAATAGAATGTAATGGAATGTAATTTAATGGGGATCAAACAGGGGCTTAATGTAATGTTGGTAGTTCACTCAGCATGCCCTGTCCTTTGCAAGTCTGAAGACAATCATATTGTTTTTGATATGTTATGCAGCTCAAAAGTTACTGAAGCATGAAGAAGTGCATCGAATTTTGGGGCCACAGGGTGCCATAGAAGACAAATTTGTTGCAGAACTTGGAGGAAAAGTTCATGTGCCAGTCATTTCTTTCAGTGCCAGAAGCTCAACTATTTCCGGTGCACAAAATTGATACTATGTTAGGACAATGCCGGATGATCTGTATCAGGCTCAAGCTCTTGCAGCCATTTTCCAAGGATTTAAATGGCCTGAAGTAGTGATTTTGTATGAAGAAACGGAATACGTCAATCATTTTCTTTGGCATCTGAATAAGGCACTCCAAGAAGTTGAAATTGGGATAGCGTATATGAGTGCCATCACATCAGAGGCTATTCAAATATTTAAAGAACTCAATTAGCTTATTGCGAAGAAAACGAGGGTATTCTTAGCGCACATGAACTTGTCACTTGGTTCTCGACTATTTCTTCATGCCAAGAATGCAGGAATGATGAGTGAAGAGTATGCATGGATTATCACCGAGTATTTTTCTAACTTCTTGAGTTCCATGGATTTTTTTGTCCGTGATTCCATGGAAGGTGTTTTGGGTATAAGGCCCTATGTACAGAGATCAGAAAAGCTCAACAGTTTCCAAAAAAGTTGGAAAATGAATATGGGTTCAACTGGGGAGGTAAATGTCTATAGTTTGTGGGTGTACGACGCAGTATGCTCCTTAGCAATGGCAGCTGAGAAGATTGGGCCTGTAAATTCTAGCTCATTATATATGAACACCAGCAAAAATGGAACAGGCAATACCGATTTGAAAGTCTCAGCATATAGACCAAGACTTCTCAGCGAATTATCAGGTGCAAAATTAAGAGGCATGATAGGAGACTTTCAATTCATTAATGGACAATTGAAACCTTTAGTATTTGAGATATTCAATGTAATTGGAAGTGGAGAGAGAACTTTGGGGTTTTGGATACCAGAAAAAGGAATATCCAGAGAATTAATTTCAACTGGCAAACCGACAAACTCAGCATCCACAAAAAATCTAAAAAATGCCATTTGGCCTGGAGATTGCGTCACGCAACCAAAGGGTTGGGCTATTCCTGCAACAGGGAAACTGAGAGTTGGTGTTCCTATGATACGTGGATTCAAACAATTCGTAGATGTAACAATATATCGGGCAACACATCGTACAAATGCAACTGGTTTTTCAATTGATATCTTTTTGGCTACATTACAGTTGCTACCTTTCGACTATAAAATACGAATTCTATTATTATAATGGCAGCAAAAAAAATAGTAGCTGGACTTATGACGACTTACTTCATGAGATACCTCAGGTACTTTGATCTTCGTCTCATAACTCTTCAAATCTCTTTGTTTATAGTTAATCTTAGTTCTGATAAACTTAATGCTTACTCAGAGTCATATTACCTTTTGGCTATTATTTTCTTGTGAAAACAGACGTTTGACGTTGTGGTGGGAGATATAACAATTTGGGCTCCTCGAGCAAATTATGTTGATTTTTCGCTGCCATATTCTGAACCAGGAGTCACTCTAGTAGTCAAAAATAAGAAGCCGTTTGACATGTGGATTTTCATTAAGCCGCTTCACTGGGATCTTTGGATAGCAATCATCATCGCCTGCATTTTGATGGGAATAGTTCTTCGAATATTGGAACATAGAGTGCCAAACACTGATGAAGATTCGATTAGACCACACAGGGAGAGACTTAAAATGACCTACTGGTCTCCAATAGCAGTCCTTGCATTTCCTGAAAGTAATTTCTAAATCATTTTCATGTTGAGTTTTATAGTTTTCCATTAATCCAAATATTATCTGCACACTTATAAGCTAAAAACAAGAACTGCCAAGTTTTTCAATCAGCGCCATGAAGACTAAATTACATTAGACTGTTTTTATTGTTCTTGACAGGGAATGTGGTGGCTAATACATGGTCTATATTTGTATTGATGTTTTGGCTGTTCATGGCATTCATCCTTATGCAGAGCTACACGCCTACACAGCTAATTTATCGGCTATTTTGACAGTAGATCAATTAAAATTTGCTTTTTCTGACGAGTACTATGTGGGATATCAGGAGGGTTCCTTCATGAGAGAATTTTTGAAAGTGCGACTAAACATTAATGAGTCGAGGCTCAGGAGCTACTCATCAGTTGAAGAGTACCATGACACGATGTCTAAAGGAAGCAAAAGGGGAGGCATGGATGCCATATTTGATGAGATTCCTTACATGAAGATTTTTCTTAATAAATACGATTCTCAGTATAAAATGGTTGGACCAAGGTACAGGACCGATGGATTTGGCTTCGTAAGTTTTCTTGTTCTTTTAACTTAACATATATTTATTTCCTAATTGCTATCCATGAAAACATTATTTTGAGATCCCTTGGTACAAATCCTCTTTAATATCAAAAATAACAATTGTATCCTTCGCGAAGTAAAAAATTAATCTGATATATAACTATTAAATTTGATTGTTTGGTAGCTTTTCTGATTGGAAATATAATGCATCATCTAACTATCAGGCATTTCCCCTTGGCTCTCCCTTAACTGCATATTTCTCAAGAGCAATCGTTGCTGTTACTCAAGGTCCGAACATGACATTTATTGAGCAAACACATTTTGGACCTGGTTACTCTTCTCAAGATCCACTTTCCTCGACAATCTCACAACAAACCTCCAGTCTTTCTTTTCGTGACTTTGGCGGCCTCTTCATTATTGTAGGATTGGTTACTATGTTTGCTCTAATCTGCTCGGAGACATCACTTGGACGAAAAGTTACTGCTCAGTTCAGCCAAATGTGCTTCCGTTTTATGCCTTCAGAATTCCCTTTGACACGGAATGATAGGAAAGAAGTGCATGAATCTGTCCCTGAGACCGGTGCTCTTTATATTGAAGAGGCCCCCAGTCTAAGTGAAGAAGAAATCTGTGAACCTGGCCAGAACAATGAAACCGCTACTGCAGAAGATCAAGAAGGTAATATTGACAACCATCAAGAGGGAATTTCTTAGAACAGAAAATGCAACTACAGTATTCGATTCCTAAGCCTTAGACAGTGGTGTTCTTAGGAATATTAGCATCGTCTTGGTAAGGACATACTATGATATCGTTGATGGAGTACCCATACACAAATATTATTAAATAAAATGGTGTTTTTTTTTTTTTTTTTGGTCTGAAATTGATTTTTCATCATGTTTTTTCTTCATGTCCAAGTTGCTGAAATCAGCCTCAAATTGCCAAGAGAGTTTATGACATGTTAGGAATGGTAAATTGGACAGTATCTCAAATATGTTCAATCTATTTATAAGTGCAAATGTACCACAATGCTTAAACTTTAGCTGCACTAACTAATCAGCATTTCATAACTTCAGGCTGTCAATATATCTAAATCATTCTACCAAACAAAGGATTTCCCGAAAGTCGCAAAAATGAAAAACAACAGCATATTAATTTGGTACAGGTGCTGGAATCAACTAAACTAATTTCTTCTAAAGGGATTAGAGACAGACGAACTAGAGATTTTCACAACAATAACTTGATGCCCAGAGAATTGTATGCATCAAGGTAAATAATTATGTGAAGCCCCGAGGGGAAAGATGCATTACAAACATTTAAATTACTCCCCATGCACCATAACTGACTGAAAAGTTACACGTTTAATTTCCACAAATGTCGAGAACTCCTTGTTCATCGGTTGTTTCCATGGTTCACCATCCATCTGCATATATGCCTCTGTCCACTCTCCTCCTCTAAGCTCAAATCGAATAGATGAGGCCTAGAAAATTCGGGATAATTCATTTAAGTTTAAAATCAAAAAAGCAAAGAGTATCATTAAACAATATCTCAGACAAATTTGACTAACTATTTTTTAGTAGATTATGATCATTAAAATTGAACATTTTCAACCTAGTCATATATTGCAACACCTAGAATCATTAACTCAGACCACTTATTAGTACCTGAGCTATGTGTTTGGCAGAGATAAGTTCAACCATAACCAATGAAGCATGCCATCCATGCTTCAAACCAAAAATTTCTAAGAAACCATCATCAGCATGGGCCTCAACAAATCCTCTCTGAGAATTTAAGAAGTAAAAAAGAAACTACCATTAACTCATAATCCAAAACAATTCTTTCAATGCTAAACATATAGGCAGTAGTTATAAATTCACTATCAAACAAAATCAGCAAAACAAACTTTATTTTGATATGAGCAACTATCTTAAGCACCTTCAAGCAAATAGACCAATTAAGCATAATCATATATAAATAGAGATATTTAGATGGAGATGCAACAAGAAACAAAGTAGCAACAGTTATTTTGAATTAAACTCTGCAACTTGTCATCTTTGCATTTTGCTTAGCTATATTTCCATTGATTCAATCTGATTCAATCTATTAATTTATTATCTAGGAACCCATTTTTTGATTGAAGTTGAGGAATACAAACAAACATTCCACACCATTCACTCCCAATGTTCATTTGCACTTCTGTCTACATATCTTATTCAAGTGATATACGCAAATGCTCTACTTAATAAGGTTTCAGTCCTCGATAAACCTTTAGTTACCACTATTGAAAGATAAATTCTTTAAAAACAATTTAAAGAAGTGAATTACTTGCAGCATATAGCCATCATCCACTTCTGTTTATCATTTACGTGTAGAATATCCCAAATGTACATATTGGATCTCTCTGTGAAAGAAAAAGGGATGCTGTGAATCAGAAGTAACCACTAGTGAAAGGGCAAAAAAAGGAGGAAGGACAATAGAAATATCAATGCCCACATTAAATCAATTGATTCGTCATTCGACTAATCAGTGATCCCTGGGCATGCCTACCACAGATGTGCCTGAAATAGGGAATTGGATGGGCCTACTTTTAATTTAAGAAAGAAGCATCTCTACAAGGCTACGGAATAGAGCTTAACTATCAATTATAAGAAAAAGGGCTACTATGTTACTTTTTAAGTATAGTTGAATTCTCAGTGTCATTAATAGAATAGTCTCCTCGCAATAGCAAAAGTAACATAACATTCCGGGACTTGAGCCCAAGTCATCTGACATTTTCATCTCCTTTATACATTTGCCAAACTAATCTGAGTATATGTACTGTGGACCAGTTTTAGTAATAGAAGAAAAGCAGCGGATAACATTGATAACACAACACGAGATACATAAATGTAGCTCAAATTACTTTTTATTTAAAAAAAGATTGTCCAACATATGTTTTGGTGCTTATAAAGAAAGAAAAACTAAAACTAGGAATAATTTATTTGTAGTAGCAGTATAGTCATTCAAGAAAGGTTTAATCATCGGTCTTCATGCACAATGCGGGAAACACTTTGAATCTACATAAAAGGGTATGTGGAGAGTAAGAAAATTGCATCACTACTATGTGATGGTGTGACAAATGTTGTGCTAAAATAGGAGGAGAAAAATGCATCGTTAGATGTAGTGTGACCAGGGATACCTTCTCTAAATACTCTGGTTTCAAAGTACCCCATGGATTTCTTCCACTTCCATAACTGGGAAGATTTAGAGCAACTACAGACCTCACACTGTGATATCAAAATCCCAGGTTAACTTAAGCAAAATGTAGGTAAGAATCTAGATTGTGATTGAACAGTAAATACTTTAAAGAATTTAGTACACATTCAGATCGTGTCATCTAAATATGTGGCAAGAAACAAACTAAAAAATATATGCAGTAAACTTTTCTATGCAACGAAATCAACCTTGATGGAATAGGAATTTGCACCCATTCTGGAGAATTGACCGTCTTGACATATATCCTCAAGATGTTATTTAGTCCCCTGTATAATAACAATACGAATTATAAAGCCAGTCAAGTTTAGAATAAGTATGTAACATTGTATCGATCTATATCGAGTACAAAATGCACAAATTACCACAATGTATTATTATTTACGCTTGTCTATTCTACGCAAAGCACAAATATATAAAATCAGACATGGAATTATCCACAAGGGGAACACAATTAATGACTACTCTAGTCAAAGTTTAAGCATGTAAATGAACAGATAGAATCCAAATAAGTCTTGTAAGCATTTAAAATATTAAAGTACATTGTGCTTGTTGAGGACTCAAAGTTGTATTGCATAGGGATGTCATGCTGGGATATTTCCAGCAATCATATCGACGATTTAAGCATCAATATTTATTAAAGTTGTGCCTCAGGGAGATAATACGCCCAGAGAAATTTTCAGGTAAATTAAGACAGAAACATGGATTTCAGGAAAAAGAGATCTGAATTCAGAATCTCAGGCAGAAGTGTAGAGTAGGAGAGATACAAAAAAAACAAACCAACCCACCTCAGCAACTTAGAAACAAAATAGAAAAACAATAATTACTATAGCCACCAGATAAATGTCCAAGAATAAGCCTCAACTCTAGATACTCAAGTTCCCATTACCAACTTCACTGTTAACTTATATACTAAAGAAATGGAGAAAATGAACAATGAAGCTGCAGTAGGGCAGCTTTCTTAAGAATTGAATAAACAGGTGGGCTATTTCTTTGAAATAAAATTGTGCTCAATTTCATATGTGGCAATTCCACCAAGATCTTTTTCCGTAATTAAGGAATGAATCCACAAAAATAACTGTCAATTCATAATATAAAAATAAGAATCAAAATGCATTCGCAATTACCCAAAAAAAAAAAAAAAAACACAAGAAATAAAATGCAAAGCTCAGGTTTAAGTGCATAGGGAAAAGTTTCAAATATTACGAGATAGTGGAAATATGGATTCAACTTTCATTCCCCTTGACAGCCATCCATGAGTACCAAAAATTCCCAAAGCAAGCAATTCAGTAAATGTTAGCGAGAAAAATTCAAAGATAATAATTTTCTGACCTCAACCCTGGATCGCTGCTGCATGGTGTGAAGAACCAGCCTTGCTTGCAACTATATCCAGAATAAATTATCTGCAGTGAAGAGGATCAGTTCCACCTTTAATTTGTATACCTCATGCTGGCAATCATTCATGCAGTGAATTAATTCATCACTACTTCAACAAGGTATGTAATCTTTTGACATTTATATTAAGCTACATAAAAAATGGCCTTATGAAATACCATCAGAAATAGAACTGCAAAAATTGATGAGAACCACCAACCCCCAAATTAAATTTGTGCAATAAATCAATGCATAATTCAATTCACAACTAGGAATGATTCATTATCATGTTTGATTTTCCAACCCTATGGACAAGTATTCAAATTAGCCTGAGCCTCCAAAAAAGCTTTAACAGAGTAAGACATAACCCTGTAACATCAGCATGTGAATAACTCATCGCAAAAATTGACAAGCTACTGAAAACTTCAGAATATCACTCCTATATAACTGTTGAAGTTTCTTTGTATTTCTACCCACTGAAACCCATCTAAAGGGACACCTGAAGGAAAGATTTACATGCTATTGAAAGCTACAGATTCTCATTGTAGTGAAATTTGATTTCTTTAACTCGTTGCAAACGTTGACAAGCCACTGAAAACTTCAGGATATTGTTCTACTCACTGAAACCCATCTAAAGGGACACCGGAAGGAAAGATTTACATGTTATTGAAAGCTTCAGATTCTCATTGTAGTGAAATTTGATTCCTACATATCCTAAAGCTTCAGGTTCTCATTGCAGTGAAATTTGACATCTATGTATCCTACTCTTCATAACCCAAACTCATTAATTCCAGGAGTTAAAAGCAACCATTTCTACAACCAATGCTACATAGCTGGATAGAAATTTGAGACATAATCTCAGAGAAATGTAAAAGAATTTTCACCTTGTTTGAAATAGGACCTTGAGCAAGGTAAGGTTTTTCATTGCGTAGGTGATGGAAACCATAAGCAACCTGGGCATCCATTCCTGCATTGATATAGTAACTCTTTCAACCGCCACCTTATAAACTGAGCCAAAAGTGGAAGAAAATGAAATGCACACCTATGCTAAAATAATTATAAAAGACTCCCTGATAACAGGAGACCTTCTCCGCCAACTCCCCTTCAACTTCCAGTTCCTGCACAGTTAATATTAAGTCTGAATTAACAAAATGACAAAATTCACTGAGGAAAATTTAAATATTGGGCTGTCTTCCAATTAGGACCATTTCTCCTTAAATTCAATATAGCATTTATCACCATAAGTATCTAAAATCCATATTATTCCCAAATACAGTGGCAACAAAGTTGCCCACAGACTTATGTTTTAAAAGCATAAATTGATGTCCAGGATAGTTCAAGTTGACGTAGCATTAATGGAGTGGTATCAAAAAAGTTTTTATTAGCAAGCTTATGTTTATTCAGATAAAGTTTAGCTATACATAGTTGAAAACGGAAAAAGAAAAGTTATAATAAAATGCTCAATGAATCAAATCTTTTACCAAAAAAAAAAAAATGCAATACATAAGTCTGAAATATATCAAAATTGGAATAGTATTAAAAAATGGTTTATATAAATATCTTTTTAGTTATGGACAATCAACAAACATAGTAGAAAAATGTTAACGTAAGAGCACTCTCCAAGTCGCATCTTTTCCCTTCTTCTTTATCGACACAACAGACATGTCGCTAATGTGTCAAAAATGCCACGTGGTGTGTCCAAATAATTTTTTAATTTTGTACAGTTGGACACGTCGTGGACACATTGCCGTTGGACACCCACAACACCGCAATGTTGGAAACAATGGGTTGTGTCCAAATTATTTTTTATTTTATATAATTGAGCACATCATTACAAAATTGCTACTACTTCAAGGGATACGACGACATGACATCAACACATGTCAAAAACCACGGTGGTGTATTCAAATTATTTTTTAGTTTTGAACGACTGGTCATGTTGCCGACATACTAGGAGATCGTTGCCGACCCGCCAAGATGTATATCATCAACGTGCTCTAATTAAGAAAAATAAATTTACTTCACAATATTAAAAGTTAAAAATGAACCCCAAAAAAAAGTGTTAATATTATCTAATCAGCGTATCATGTCGGGACGTGTCATGTTGGGTCCTTTTTAAAAAATTGCAGGTGTCAATGCATCTGTGTGGTGCCACATGCGACACTCATGGCTGTGTCGGTGCATCCTAGGGCCTAAGCAACCCAAATATGGCGAAGATCCACATAACCAACCTATTATTTGCCCATCATGATAGTGATTTTACAATGTGCATCAAAAACCAATTGCAAATGCTTTATTGAGAAACCAAACAATGTTGCAAATCAATAAAATTCACAAAATTTAATTCCCATCAAATGAAAGATAAATCCTCAGAAACAAACTTAAAATACCAGTTTACATATCAAACATCATGTACAAACCTGATCAAGAGGTATCTCTTCTGTTGCCTTGAGAGAATAAGGTGTATCCAACTCCTCTCCTGCTGGCATTGATATCAAAGCATGCCAACTGCACACGAGAGGTGTATTTCATAACACTGCCAAGGGACAGAGATTTAAAAGAAGAAAAAGAAGGTATACAACTAATTCACTAGGCACTTTCATTGTAAAATCAACTGTCCTGCAACTATCCACAACAAATTAAAGGGGTGTTTGAGCCACATTATTTTGGTAATAATGCATTCTTGAATAGTGTATTGATGGGAAATGTGTGGTTAAAAAATAAGGAAAGTTTTTTATTTGTGTGTAATATTATTTTATTGAAGAATGTATGGTTGAAATGATGTCAAATCACTGTTTAAAAATGTATTTTTTTGAAATAATGTGGCTCAAACAGGCCCTAAGTATGCTCTTGATTCAATAATTTGTGAATTTTTCTGCCAAAGAAAGGCATATAGATTCAAATTAAAAAAATTAAAATATTTGTGGAAATTTTTTACTTCAACAGAAATTTTAACACGAGGAAATATTCCTCAAATCATCACGAAATTAATATTCAGAAAATCATCGCTCATATATTGATAAGGACCCATAAATTGCAGTTTAATAAATCCTTATAAAACATAATATATCAACTTCCTTTCACTAGCAATGTCCACATGTTCATAAAGAGCCAAGAATTATTGGTATAACACCCTGGACGTTTCATCATTTAGGACCTTAACAAAAAGATAGAAAAGGTTGAGGACTTAAATGGAAACCTTTCATTTTTAGGGACTCAAAGTGCAAATATTTTAATATTTTTTGATCGAAAAATGACGAATTTATCACGAATAATAATTTTTTTATTATCAATGGAAAGTTTGAAAAGCTTAATCAGTTTAAAGGATGAGTCCAGCAACCGAAGACTAAAGTGAGAAATTGGAAAATGCCAAATTTTATGAGAGAATGAGAAATTTGAGTTGAGTCTATTGTATTTGGGCTTAGGATGAAATTTGGTGAAGTTTGGAGCTCATTAGGATTCAGGACTCTTAAAAGCCATTTTGGACGTAATGAATTTATATTGTCCACTCCAACATCATATGAACTGATGAACAGTAAATTTGGCTAGGGCATGGGCATGTACCCTACAAGAAAAGTCAACAAATATCTCATGAGAGAGAGAGAAAAGTCTTGTAAGAATCACTCAAGTTTTTTTTCAAAGTTTACCAAAATTTTCCATGTTTTCATATCAAAGTTAGAGGTAGGAAAAGAGGTGCATTATAATCCCATTTTAATGTTCAATGTTTCATATGATATTGATGTCATACTTATGTAGTTACGATTGTATATATGTTATGGTCATTCAGTTATGTAATACGATATGATATGAATTTAGGATTTTGCCAAAAACCCTCTACGTCGTGTTGACGGTATGTTCATTTATGCAGGCCCGGTCCTGGGCCGAGGCGAATGAGGCCTCCGCCTCAGGCCCAAGATCTTAGGGGGCCTCATTTTCGCCCTTTTTTTTTTAATCCATCCGGCCCAAATGAAATGCCCAATCCAATAACTAAACCAATCCCAACCCAACAATACATAAATCCCAACCCATCAATCCATTTATCCAAATCAAATCCAATCCAATCCCTAAATTCCCAAAATAATTCATATGAAAATTCAAGAACTGCCTCCGACTTTCACGACTGTGAAGCCATCGTGACTCCCCTCTCAACATTGACACAGTCCGGGCGTCCGGTGAGTGACGGCGACGGTGAGACGGTGAGTTCACCACGAATCTTATCTTCCTTGGCCCTTCTTCTGGCGTTTGCTTCTGCTGAGTGCTGGCTGTGCTGCCGAGTCCCGACTGCCGAGTCACCTAACTGTCTTTCGACCGGAGCAATATCGATGGCATAACTGGATTTAGTAAAGACGATTCGGAATCAGTTTCCAGCTTCATGACATATGCAGTTGATTTGGCAAAATCTAGTGTTAGCTCGGTAACTACCTAATGCTTTCTGGATGCCTTTGCATCATTAAATACATTCTACTTTGGTGCCGTATTTGAAATGAATTTATCTCCTTTTCACATTTATTGCTTGAAATTCCATTAGAGTTGTAATTTACTAGTTTCTAGATAAATTATTTAGACATGTCAAAATGGAAAAGGTATGAAATTATAAATCTGAGTGAATGATAAATGAAGTGAAATTATCTTCTATATGCCGCATTATCATTGTGCCTTTGTGAGAAATGAGATGAAATCCTACTAGATTGGCCTTGTAGGCTTCTATGATCCTAGGTAAAAGAGAGAACTTCACTTGTAATTTTTCAATGTGTTTATTCAAATGTAATGGAAGATCTACGTGAAAGGGCCATTACAAGGGCTTAGCAGTGCAGCTTAAACTGTTTAAGATATTCTGCTAGAGCGTGCTGGCTGATTTTGCACGCATCTATATACATTCTGGTTATAGATATTGAGTGACCTATTGTCCATCCTATGCCTTTTTCTTTGCTTTTTATCTTCGAAGATACTTGTACTTAGGATTGGTTGTTGGTCTTTTATAAACTCACTCTTTCAGGTCGTGAATGCTGCTGTCATTGTGGATCCTTCAACTATGCAGGTCATAGCAAGCTCACATGACTAAGTCCTATCTTGTAATACTTCCATAAAAGAAAGCAGCATGCAACTTTCCAGAAGCAGCTCAATTTAATTTCATCAAAGCCAAAAATTGTCAGTCATTTCTTTCAAGATGTTCATGTTCATCCAAGGACACAAAGCATTCTTACTATGGTGTTTGTTGTTTACGTCCATGGAGCTGGTTTGAACATGAATTACATACGCGTTCTGGTTCTTGGCATCCTTTACAACATGCTGTGATTGTAGCAATTGAAAATTCTGCCGTGAGGGATAGGCATCTTTTTCTGGGGAATGGACACAGTGCGGAAGAATATGTACAAGAGGACTATAAGGTGTCCTTTCCAACAAGTTCTCTTTTGAAAAGACAAAAGATTAACCTTGCAAATGCAACTTTGCATTATAAAATGTTACAAGTCTTGAGGTGTTACATACCAAGTGAAGCAACAAGAGCAATTGAAGTGCTACAATATTTGAAGACATTGGATGTTTGTTTTCCAAATGCTTATATTGCTTACCAAATTTTGTTAACCATACCGATTACAGTTGCATCTGCAGAAAGAAGTTTCTCGAAATTAAAGTTGATCAAAACCTATCTCCGATCAACTATGTCGCAAGAAAGATTAAATGGATTGGCTATGCTATCAATAGAAAAAGAAATGGTTGAGCAGCTAAATTATTCAAATTTGATTGATGTTTTTGCCTCTAAAACAGCAAGAATAGTATTTAACTAATTGTTTGAAATTTTTGGTTTGATGGTTTATAATATAAATCGTTTTTATAATATATTTCGTTGTTGTTTTAATGTTAGTTTTTTAAGTTAGCAATGAGTCGCATAATACATCTTTGAATTTTGTCGCTGGGGGGCCTACTTTTCATATTTCGCCTCAGGGCCCATTAGATACAGAACCAGCTCTGCATTTATGTTAAAATTGGGATGCACCAATGATGTTCCTATCAAGTATTATCATACTCATTATCTCTGGTCGTGGAAACAAGGAAAATGCATGGTGATTGCTTTGGTGGAAAGCAAAAAGAAAAAGATAATAAAGGTACAGTATTTTTAAGTTCATGTTTAAGTAAACTATTTATTTGAGTTAGTTCAAATGTTTCAAAGTATTATTTGGATTCATGAAGTACGATATTATGCGGTTTTGTCGAGGATTATGTTTGGTTTTTATGTTGGAAACATATTTTATAAGTTAAAGCTTGAAAAATAAATTTTGAATTAATGCAGAATTTTCTTCTGCTACAGGTCAGATTTCTTGTACGTGCTATTTTATGTACGAAATTTCTATATAAAATTGTGAAATTTTACACATCAATGGATCATGTTATGAGGTTTATTTTCATGTAAAGTATCTTGCACAGGTCTTCATGGATTGTGAGTTACAAATTTTCAAAATTGACCACTGCTGAGAATTCCACAATCTGCCCCTGGATTTTAAAATAATATTCCGAAGTCTCTAATAATTATATTTGCATGAAACCAGTTGAATATGAAAGCCTTACGAGTTCCATAACATTTTGTATCACCTTAATTGCATTGATTGAGTTATGCATGCTTTTCTAAAGTATATGTTGATCCCACCTTAATTGGATAGATTGAGTTATGCATGCTTTTCTAAAGTATATGTTGATCTCAAAGGCAATGCAAGATTGAGATTAATGACAAGACTACAAGAAACTAGGGTTTTACCGACCAGATTTTTCAGTAAAAATACGTAGTCAGCCATATCTTTGCCGACCAACTTTTTACCGACCCAATTGAAATAGTCAAGGAAAATAGTCTTTGCCGACCACGTTTTACCGACCAACTAGAAATTAGCCACTAGAAATTCTATTTACCTAACAAAGTATTTTTTTAGCCAGCATAGACGATATATATTTGTCGACTAACCATAAATGGTCTATGAAAATCCTAATTTTGGCCCAAAAATATTGGCAGGGGATGAAAATCTTAATTAAAAAAAAAAAGGTTGAACCCCAACCTTGAGGGCCCTCACCACCTCGCCCCTATAGCTTTGTGAGGGTGGTAAATCGCGGGATGTGCTCCAGCAGGTCAGAAAACAAGAGTTGCATGTACACTGCGCCTACAAGGAGTCCAATTCCATGTCTCAGAAATCAAACCTCCACACTGCGACTGTCAGCAAGACGTGAGATAACCTCACTCCTGTCCTTTGCACCACTAGACTATGCCCGGGAGTTGAAAATCCTAATTTTGGATTGTCTCAAAATATAGGTTTAGGGTAAGAAAATTTTCAATTTTGCTCCTCTGCAACTCTGCATCTCTCTCTCCCCGTGTCGTCCGTCTCTCTCTCCCCCGTCTGCATCTCCCCAAAGCATTCTTGGAGTTGACATTGATAGTGGTAATTGTTTTCTACTTTTATTTTAACCCTTATTTATTTCATCATTAGCAATAATTTTCTTTTTCTACTGGATTTATACCTACATTA